ATTATATTGCGATACATCCCATTGATACCTAGTTTGTTGAAAGTTCTTAGCATAAAGGGCTGTTGAATTTTGTCTAAGGCCTCTCTCCGTCTATTGAGATAATCATGTGGTTTTTGTCTTTGGTTCTGTTTATGTGGTGAATTATGTTTATAGAGTTCCATATGTCGAAGCAGCCTTGCATCCCCGGGATGAAGCCAACTTGATCATGCTGGATAAGCTTTTTGATGTACTGTTGCAATTGGTTTGCCAGTATTTTATTGAAGATTTTTGCATCTATGTTCATCATGGATATTGGCCTGAAATTTTCTTTTTTAGTTGTGTCTCTGCCAGGTTTTAGTATCAGGATGATGTTGGTCTCATAAAATGAATTAGGGAGGATTCTCTCTTTTTGGATTATTTGGAATAGTTTCAGAAGGAATGGTACCAGCTCCTCCTTTTACATCTATGAACTCATCAGAATTCGGCTGTGAACCCATCTGGTCCTGAACTTTTTTTGGTTGGTAGGCTATTAATTCTGCCTCACCTTCAGACCTTGTTATTGGTCTATTCAGGGATTCAACTTCCTTCTGGTTTAGTCTTGGGAGGGTGTAAGTGTCCAGGAACTTACCCATTTCTTCTAGATTTACTGGTTTATGTGCATACAGATGTTTGTAGTAATCTCTGATGATAGTTTGTATTTCTGTGGAATCAGTGATATCCCCTTTATCATTTTTTATTTCATCTATTTGAACCTTCTCTTTTTTCTTTATTATTAGTCTGGCTAGCAGTCTATCTATTTTGTAGATCTTTTCAAAAAAAATGCCACCTGGATTCATTGATTTTTTGAAGGTTTTTTTATGTCTCTATCTCCTTCAATTCTGCTTTGATCTTAGTTATTTCTTGTCTTCTGCTCACTTTTGAATTTGTTTGATCTTGTTCCTCTAGTCCTTTTAATTGTGATGTTAGAGTGTTGATTTTAGATCTTTCCTCACTTCTTATGTGGGGATTTAGTGTTATAAATTTCCCTCTAGACACTGCTTTAAATGTGTCCCAGAGATTCTGGTACCCTGTGTCTTTGTTCTCATTGGTTTTGAAGAACATCCATCTTTATTTCTGCCTTCATTTTGTTATTAATCCAGAAGTCATTCAGGAGCAGGTTGGTTAGTTTCCATGTTGTGCAGTTTTCCATGAGTTTCTTAATCCTGAGTTCTAATTTGATTGCACTGTGGACTGAGAGACTGTTATAATTTCCATTTTTTGCATTTGCTGAGGAGTGTTTTTCTACCAATTATGTGGTCAATTTTAGAGTAAGTGCAATGTGGTGCTGAGAAGAATGTATGTTCTGTGGTTTTGGAGTGGAGATTTCTGTAGATGTCTATTAGGTCCACTTGGTTGAGATCTGAGTTCAAGTCATGGATATCCTTGTTAATTTTCTGTCTCATTGATCTGCCTAGTATTGACAGTGGGGTGTTAAAGTCTCGCACTATTATTGTGTGGGAGTCTATGTCTCTTTGTAGTTTATTAAGAACCTGCTTTATGGGTGCTCCTGTATTGGGTGCATATATATTTAGGATAGTTAGCTCTTCTTGTTGCATTAATCCCTTTACTATTATGTAATGTCCTTCTTTGTCTCTTTTGATCTTTGTTAATTTAAAGTCTGTTTTATCAAAGACTAGGATTACAACCCCTGCTTTTTTTTCTCTCCATTTGCTTAGTAAGCCTTCCTTCATCCCTTTATTTTGAACCTACATGTGTCTTTGCACATGAGATGGGCTTCCTGAATATAGCACAGCAACAGGTCTTGACTTCTTGTCCAATTTGCCAGTCTGTGTCTTTTGATTGGGCATTTAGCCCATTTACATTTAAGGTTAATATTGTTAAGTATGAACTTGTGCCATTTTGATGCTAGCTGGTTGTTTTGCCCATTAGTTGATGCAATTTCTTCATAGTGTCGATGGTCTTTACAGTTTGGTATGTTTTTGCAGTGGCTGGTACTGGTTGTTCCTTTACATATTTAGTGCTTTCTTCAGGAGCTCTTGTAGGGTAGGTCTGGGGGTGACAAAATCCCTCAGCAGTTGCTTATCCATAAAGGATTTTGTTTCTCCTTCACTTATGAAGCTTAGTTTGGCTGGATAGGAAATTCTGGGTTGAAAATTCTTTTCTTTTTGGATGTTGAGTATTGGCCCCCACTCTCTTCTCTCTTCTGGCTTGTAGGATTTCTGCTGAGAGATCCTCTGTGAGTCTGATGGGCTTCCCTTTGTGGATAACCCGACCTTTCTCTCTGGCTGCCCTTAGCATTTTTTCCTTCATTTCAACCCTGGTGAATCTGACAATTATGTGCCTTGGGGTTGATTTTCTCAAGGAAGACCTTTGTGATGTTCTCTGTATCTTCTGTATTTGAATGTTGGCGTGCCTTGCTTGGTTGAGGAAGTTCTGCTGGATAATATCCTGAAGAGTATTTTTCAGCTTGGATTCATTCTCCCCGTCACTTTTAGGTACATTAATCAAATGTAGATATGGTTTTTCATATAATTCCATATTTCTTGCAAGCTTTGTTCATTTCTTTTCACTCTTTTTTCTCTAATCCTGCCTTCTCACTTTGTCTCATTGAGTTGATCTTCAATCTCTAATATCCTTTCTTCCACTTGATCAATGCAGCTATTGAATATTATGCATGCTTCACAAAATTCTCATGCTGTTTTTCAGCTCCGTCATGTCGTTTACGTTCTTCTCCAAGTGGATTATTCTTGTTAACATTTTGTCTAACATTTTCTCAATGTTCTTAGTTTCCTTGCATTGGGTTAGGACATGCTCCTTTAGTTCAGAGAAGTTTGTTATTACCCACGCCCTAAAGCCTGCCTGTCAATTCATCACACTCATTTTCCATCCACTGTGGTTCCCTTGCTGGTGAGGGTTTGTGATCCCTTGGAGGAGAAGAGGCTTTCTGGCTTCTGGAGATTCCAGCCTTTTTGTGCTGGTTCCTTTTCATCTTCATGGATTTATCTATCCTTGGTCTTTGAAGTTGGTGACTTTTGGATGGGGTTTCTGAGCAGATGTCCTTTCTGTTGATGTTGAAGCTATTTCTTTCTGTTTTTTAGTTTTCCTTCTAACAGTCATGCCCCTCTGCTGCAGGACTGCTAAAGGTCCACCCCAGACCCTGCTTGCCTGGGGACCATCCACTGAGGCTGCAGAATAGCTACCTCTTCCTTCTTTTGGTAGCTTCATCCCAGAAGAATACCTGCCAGATGTCAGCCAGAGCTCTCCTGTATGAGGTGTCTGTTAGGATATATGAGGTTCTGGGAGCCACTTGAGTGATAAGTGATAAGCCACTGTCCCTTATCAGAACTCAAGTGCTGTGCTAGGAGCTCCATTGCTTCCTTCAGAGTTGCTGGATAGGGACATTCAAGTCTGCTGAAGTGGAACTCGCAACCACCCCTTTTCCCAGGTGCTCTGTCCTGGAAAGGTGGGGATTTATTTATAAGTCCCTGATGGACTGCTGCCTTTTTTAAGAGATGCTCTGCCCAGCAAGAAGTGAGTCTAGTCATAGACTGTCTGTAGTGGGCTTGCTGAGCTGCTGCGGACTCTGCCCAGCTACTATGTAAACTTCTCTGTGATTTTATTTACACAGGCAAGGTTAGAACTGCCTCAGTAATGGCGGATGCCCCTCCCCACATTGACCTCTACTGTCCCAGGTCAAGCTCAGATTGCCGTGCTGGCTGCGAAAATTTCAAGCCAGTGGGTCTCAGCTTGCTGGTCTTTGTTGGGGTGGGACCCACTGAGCCAGATCACTTGGCTCCCTGCCTTCAGCCCCATTGTTTTTGGAGGAATGAGCAGTTCTGTCTCACTGATATTCCAGGCACCAGCTAAAACGGCCACCCAGTTTTATGCTGGAAACCCACAGCACTGGTATTGTTGGCACTGACAAGAATCTCCTGGTCTGCAGGTTGTAAAGACCATGGGAAAAGTGCAGTATCTGAGCCGGAGTGCTGGAATTTCCAGAAAAGTCCCTAATGGCTTTCCTTGGGTAGGAAGGGGAGTTCTCTGGCCCCTTGCACTTCCTGGGTAAGGCAACAACCCACCCTGCTTCAGTGTGCCCTCCTTGGGCTACACTCACTGTCTAACCAGTCCCATTGAAATGAACCTGGTACCTCGGTTAGCAATGCAGAGATCACTCACCTTCTGCATCGCTCATGCTGGGAATTTCACTCTAGAACTGTTCCTATTTGGCCATCTTGGTGGAAGTCCTCCAGTAGTTCTTTATAGCCGTGTGAAAATGGACTAACACACATGCATATGTTCATCACAGCACTATGCACAATAGTGAATAGTCACAAAGACATGGAATCAATCCAGGTGCTCATCAATTTTGGATTGAATAAAAAAATGTGGCATATATACACCATAAAATACTATTTTATATAGCCACTTAAAAAAATCCCTATTGTCCTTTGCAGCAACAGGGATGCAGCTGGAGGTCTTCATCCTAAGCAAATTACTATAACACAGAAACAGAAACCTAAGTACCGCATGTTCTCACTTATAAGTGGGTACTAAACATGGAGCACACCTGGATACAAAGAAGGGAAAAATAGACACCACAGCCTACTTGACAATGGAGGGTGGAAGGAGGGTGAAGACTGAAAAACTATTGGACATCATGCTCACTACCTGGGTGATGAAATAACACATTTACCAAATCCCAGAGATATATGTTTACAATGATACATTTATATTTGTACATGTAACCTCCATATGTACCCCCAATCCTAAAATTAAAGTTGGAAGGGAAAAAAAAAGAAAATATTTGCAGATGAAACACCTTTATTTCAGGAATTTGTTTTAAATATTGTAGCAAAAAAAAAAAAGTGGAGTAAAAGGAATAGATAAGACAAAATTGGCCAACTCTTTATATTTGATTAATCTTGGTGATAGGTGCATGGAGGTCCATTTTACTATATCATTTACTTTTTTATTTAAAATTTCTATATATAAATGTTTTGTCTTATTTCAATGAGCTTTCAAAATGAATTTAAAATTTATTAAATTCTAAATTTTTACAATTTTTAATCATAAAATATTTTTAGCCATCACACTATAACTGTGTCTACATGGCACCAAAATAACGAATTGAAATGAGAAAGGTTTTGTGGTAGCCAGGCTCCAAGATGACTACTATTGATCCTTGCCTTCTGGTACTTACGCCTTTGCATAGTCCCCTTTCATATTCAGGCTTGGTCTGGGTGACCAAAAGTAACCCGTGGAAGTGATGGTGTGTGACTACCAATGCTAGATAAGAAAAGACATTTCTGCTTCTGGTTTTTTTGGTCTCTGGTATTACTCACTGTAGAGGAAGCCAGCAGCCATGCCATGATAATACTCAAGTAGGTCTATGGAGAGGTCTGAGTGGCATGGAACTAAGGCTTTCTGAAAATAGCCAATACCAAATTGCCAGCTATATAAATGAGTCATCTTGGAAACAGATCTTTCAATCTCAGTCAAGCCTTTGATGACTACAACATGGGCCAACATCTTGACTATACCCTCATGAGACACTCCAAACCATAATAGCCTAGCTAAGCTGCCCTGTATTATAATTTTGGTTCAGACAGAAAATCAGAACCAGTTGGCAATACATGAATTTATTACAAGAAATTTGCTTATGAAATTGGGGGTGAGGGCTGGCTTGGCAAGTCTGAAGTTTATAGAGCAGCCTCAGAAAGAGAAGCTCACCACTAAGCTGGCTTGGAACCCCAGCTGTTGTCCACAGGCCATCAGTGAGAGATGATCACAAACAAGCAAGCTGGAACTCCAAGGACACAGACCAAAGCTGTTAGCCACAGATGGAAATCTCCTCTCTCTCCCTTTCTCCCCTCTCCCCCAACTTCAGAAAAGTTCTAAGCCCTCTTTTAAGGCCTTCCAGTTGTTTCAGTCAGGCCCACCCAGTTTAAAGTCAACTGATTAGGGACTTCAATTACATCTGCAAAATCCTTTCATGGCAGCACAGAGATTTGTGTTTCACTGAATGACTGGAAGAAGGTGTGTGTGTTTGCTACAATATGGCTGTTGCTTCTTTTTCATCCTCCCGCTCTCATGAGACAGTATCTCTAGTAGCCCACTGCATCTGGAAACACACTTGAAAGGGACTTCTGAGGAACACTGTTCAACCTCACCAAGTTGACACATGCCAAATCCATCATACACTCTCAAATTCCTGACCAACAGAAACTACAAAGGATAAATTTTAATCCCTTTTTTAAACCTTTGGGTTTTTTAGATAATTTGTTACAGAGTAGTATATAACTAATACAGTTTTGATTGAACAGGTTATCTGGAATCAAGTGTAACTGTGAACTACAAGTGTAATTACTTAAGGAGAAGCTGTTGCCTGAAGTTACCTGGGTTTTATTAGGTTTGTACTTAATAAATTCAAATCGTACTTGTGGGTAAAATATTTGTGTGTAAGCTTGGATTTATTTTGTATATGGGGGTGTGGATAGGTATAGATACGGTTTTCAACAGAATCAGACTAGCAGAATAACAAAGTGCAGGAAGCATGTCAGGTAGGACGTCTTGATTTTTCTCTAAAATACCTGATGGGTAATATTTACAGGAGAATAAAGTAAAAAAAAAAAAGACTTAGAAGCTTAAATTAGCCCAAACCCCAACTCTAAGATGCCTCACCCTAAAATGATCCTACAACATGAGGTGTGATGTAAAGGAGCAGAGACTGTACAGTCCGACACGTCTGGGCTCTGGCTCTAACTCCATCTCTCACCAATAATGTTTCCTTGGCCACTTGACATACCTTCCTGAGCCTCAGATTCTGCATTGGTAAATAATAATATTTAAAGCTCCAGGAATCTAGGCTTTCCTTTTAGTTGTCAGAGTCTTTGGAGGTTTAAAAAAGACAAAAACGTTTGGTCAAGAAGTATCTTAGATTTTATTAAATGAATGGGGTCCAGCCTTGGGAGTCAGGCTATGTTCCAGACACATCTGGCTCAGAGATTATATCATCCAGAATGTTACAATCTTTTCCTAGTCTTCTGTTAGAAAATACCTGGTCCAACAGCCCATACAACAAATGGGAAGAAGAGGTTTCTGGGGCTGTCTTGTCTAAAGATTTTATCTCCCTTGATATTTAAAATTTGATTTAGGTCTTCCATTGTTCTTTGAGGAAAGCAGTTACTGGAACTTCATCGGCCATATTAGTGAAGCTGGTTCCTATCAGGAAAATGAAGGAAGAGGGAAGAGAAGGTGTTTGTTAGGAAATGAGAAAGAATTGGTAAAGAAATTCCTTGGAGCATTGGGAAGATAAAATGAATAGCCATTCTGCAAATACTTGGACATTCACAGCCATGCAAAGCCATTCTGCTTTGACATTCTTAGTGAAAATGGGATAGAAAAAAAAACAAAATGTCCCATCTGCCACATTCACTTTCAATTTGTTTCATATTAAAATATGAAAAGTCTCATATTAAAATTGCTATTATGGTGAAACCCCATCTCTACTAAAAAATGCAAAAAATTAGCTGGGCATGGTGGTGCATGCCTGTAGTCCCAGCTACTCGGGTGGCTGAGGCAGGAGAATTGCTTGAACCCAGGAGACGGAGGTTGCAGTGAGCCGAGATCGCGCCATTGCACTCCAGCCTGGGTAACAAGAGCGAAACTCTGTCTCAAAAAAAAAAAAAGATTAATACAATAACTTATAAAGCACCAAAAATATAACAGATGCTCAATGAATGCTCAGTCCCTTCTCTTTCCCTTAATATAGCAAAGTCAGTTTCTTATGCAAGTTTGGGTCTCCTCCAGCCTCCTCCTCCATGTTCCATCCCCCATCCCACCCACGCATCCCTTAGCTTGGCATTTCTAAGACTGCAAATGGCAGAGTGCTCCGCAAGGAAATTCTATGGGGAGAGAGAATGTCAAAGGGCATGTCACTTCCCCACAAAGGAACTCACTCTCCTTCCCATTTTGTTATGTGGATTGTTTGGCCAGATATTTTCTCACTGAAGACTAGGAAAATATGGTAAAGTTCCAGGTGGTGAGATCTGTGAGTCAGGTGTGACTGGAACGTGGCCTAAGGCTGGACCCAAGGCTGAGTCCCAAGGCTGGACCCCATGTATTTAATAGAAGCTAAGGTTCTTCTTGATTCTGAAGCAGTTGGCTGCTTTTCTCACAGCTCTTAACAGCCCCGACTCCAGCATTTAACCATGGGGTTCACTTCAATTCTGCTTAACCATACTCTTCCACACACTCTGCTCCTCTCAGCCCTGACTGTTCAACAGCGTGTTCCCTCGGTGGATGGGCACGTCAGGTTGACAGTGATTTATACCTCACCTTTTAGCTCACAATGCAGCTTTAGGAATGGAGAAGCCATTCACCACTGGTTCAAACCACATGGTTCAAACCCAAAATGACTTTAACACTTGTTCTTTTCAGAGACCTACCTGACAGACTTTTACAAGCACAGTTTAAATTAAGCAGGATCTTAGAATAAATCTCTTAGACGTTTTCTTGTTTGGTTTTTTGTTTTTGTTTTTGGATAGGGTTTTTCTTTTTGTCCTGGTGAGAGAAATGTTTGAGAACTATAATGTTTGGCCTAGGAAAGAAAAGGATAGAGTCGGAATATACGTATTTCACTTAAAAAAAAAATGTAAACCCAGTGTTCACTACAAAAAGGGATGCCTCCAGTAACTGAAAAGGGCTGAACTTCAGCATATTTAATATCAGAATCTGGCAAACAGTTCTAAACGTTGGTTTTCAAATCTCTGCCCTAGGATCATTTCTCTCAGTGCACAAATACCAGAAAGCCAGTGGACCAGAGAAGGTAGATGGAATAATTGGGCAACAGCACAACTCATTTCTCAGTTGGCAACCTTTTAAAGCCTTTTAAATCCTAAACAGCAACCAGCCTTTCCATTCCTTTTTCCCTCCTCCTGGCTGATGTCTGCAACAGACTTTGCTGCCTCTGTTTTAACAGGCCTAAAAACACTGTCCACTGTAAAATCAGAAAAAAACACCCAATGCAAACCTTTTGAGAATACCCAACCAGCCTTTTAACAGCTCAGGACATTTCTGGGTATCCATGTTTCTGCCTAATAGGAAGATCCTGTTTTCAGCTTGCACCACAATAAAGAAGTTGTTCATCTTGTGAAAGACGGTGAAATAAAATCATCTTTCCTTTTGAGCAGCAGGTATAAAAAGAGAGCAGAATCCATGTCCTCAATAAGCTCAGCACTGGGAAAAAGCAGAACCATGGTGCTGCATACATGGAGTAGGATCCCCAAGTTCATGTGGATTAACAGCAGACTTTTTGCAGAGCCATTTTTGAGGCAGCAAATCACCTTAGCAACACTGAAATGAAAAACTTCGTATTTAAAACATTGATTCTGGCCAGGCACGGTGGCTCACACCTGTAATCCCAGCACTTTGGGAGGCCAAGGCAGGTGGATCATCTGTGGTCAGGAATTCAAGGCCAACCCAGCCAACATGGTAAAACTCCATCTCAATTAAAAATATTAAAAATAAGCCAGGTGTGGTGGTGGGCACCTATAATTCCAGCTACTTGGGAGGCTGAGGCAGGAGAATCGCTTAAATCCAGGAGGCAGAGGTTGCAGTGAGCTGAGGTCACGCCATTGCACTCCAGCCTGGGCAACAAAAGCGAAACTCCGTCTCAAAAAAAAAAAAAAGAAAGAAAGAAAAGAAAACATTGATTCTGAACTCTGGCTGCACATTAGAATTATCTGAGGAGGGTTTTTTAAAATAGAAATGCCTGGGTCGTACCCCTAGAGATTTGCACTTTTTTTAAAAACTCCAGCAGGTACTTTGATGCCCAGCCAGGACTGAGAACAACTGAGTGGGAACACACAGAAAGTTCATAAACAGAGACTGTAGATTAGGACCTTGTTTGCAAAAAGGAACCTCCCAGAGCAAATAAACAGATGAAGATCAGCAGCCCCATGACAGCACAGTCACATCTTGTGATGATGGCTCCTTACTGGAGAATTTGGGTTTTGTATCAAAACCCAAGTGTGACCCAAAATATACAATTTGCTATCTATTTCTATGTATGTTGATTGTTTAGTACAGTGTCTCAGCTGAGCCACAACTGGAATGAGAAGTCTAACTCCTTGCTCCTCCGAAGACCAGTAACAGCAGTACAACCTGGGAGCCTGTTAGGAACACAGAGTTTCAGCTCCATCCCAGTCCTGCTGAATCAGGATCTCCATTTTGTTCAGTGAAATTGATGAAAGGCCATTTTTTGGACTGAGCTTCTGCGTTAGGCCCAATAGAACAGCCCAAACCAGAATGGAGTCCCTTATGCTAGGTGCCATGTAATCAAACTGGACTTTGAAACAGACCAGTTTTCCAAAAACAGGAAATTCACAGCAACCAATCAGAAGGGGCCCAGTTACCTGAGCTGGCATGATAAGGAAGTCCCATCTATTTTAACCCTATAAGGAAAGTAACTTTAAAATGACCCATTTGCTTTTTGGTTCCTGTTTCTGCTTTCTTCAGTCCTTTTCTGCCTATAAAACCAACCTCATCTGCTCAGTTCATTGGAGCACCTATTTTTATAGGTAAGACATTGCCTAAGTCATGAGTTACTAATAAAGCCAATTAGATCTTTAAATTTAATTAGTTGTAATTTTGTCTTTTGACAATTTTAAAAAGATACTTTCAGGTAGTAAATCTCATTAAAGTTTGAGAAGCAATGATCTCACTGTGAAACTGACAAGCTAGGGACCCCTCCAGAAACCTATTTTTATAAATTGACATAAGGATGGATGGAGAGTTTGCTTTGTTTGATTTGTCTGCAGTTGTGACTTGGTTTAATTTGCTAAAGAATAAGGGGGTTGGTATGTGGGTGTTTGGAAAGAAAAGAGACAAGAACAATGGATGATGTATTTTAAGCCCCAATAGAAAAAAATTATGAAGTCAAAAAGGTGAAGGAGCTTTTTTTCCTGAAAGACTTAGTGAGACTCAGGTTACAAAGTGGTACTCTACCAGAACCCACATAACAGACGACAGCAACAAAAATAGGAGAAATCTTCCCACTGCTGCCCAAAACCTGACACAACCAGGACTGCTGAGTTTGGAAGCAATGACAGATAGCGGCCTTAGCACATATACTAGCACTTTGAAGGAGGATAACAATCAAAGGGCAATGATGAGGCTCCTTGTCAATGCTGGCAGCAGCAGCAGCAGAACTAGAATTGTCCCTAGGTATACCTGCCTGGCACACAAAAGGTATTTGACAAATACCTGGTGAATGAATAGGTGGATGGGTGATACTACCAGGGGGACTTCAAGAATAAACAGAAGGAGAGAGTTTGTAAGGGGACTGAGCAATACAGAAATGGAGACAGCACAAAGAATCATCAGAATCTAAATATGCATTTGTGGCCTCATTTGTACTCATAGACACTACAGGATGAGTGTCATCCTATTAAATAAAAAATCTTTTGTTGTCATTTTACGATCCAAACAGAAAAAATTCCAGGTGTTTTCATAATCCAGAAACTCCTGGAGTAGGTAGACACCTGACCATTATGGCCAAAATTATCATCCCCAGAATTCATTATTCTAAAAACAGATAATGAAAAAAAAAGGAGCCCTTATTCTGCCTTTCCTATATAAACTGCAACTCAAAGTAACCAAATAGTTGATGGGAGATTGTTCTTCATTGAAAAACTCCAGCTAATAATTTGTATGAATGATAAATTATCATCACTTGGCCAAACACTGATGATGACTGGATCTACACGTGGAGATTCCGGTTTGATTCCCCAAGGGTGGCCTACCAATGAGATATGGGGGGGGGGGGTAAAATCTTCCCAGGTGGTTCTAATGAGAAGCAATGATTGAGACTGCTGGTATAGGCAATGCCCACCAATGGCTGCTAGAACAAATAGATCAAAAACTGCCGGCCTAGAATAGATGAACCAAGTGAATAACATCTAAACCCACTGATCAATCCTAACATCATAAAAAGATGTGATGCAGAAGGAAGTATCCAACACCATCTATAAAGTAGTCTTGTCAAAATGTCAACCTGAATCTGATCAAGTCTCTTAATTTACTACCAGTTACAGAAACAGAAGAACAGGTTATTGGGCACCCTGAGGATGCAATCAGCAAAATCCAGAACAGCGAAAGTCTACAGGACAAATAATCCACTTTCTCCAACAAATAAATAATTTAAAAATGAAATAGGAGCA